CGCGCAGGCCTTCGGGGCCACTTCTTAGGGTTTAGGGTTTAGGGTTTAGGGTTTAGGGTTCAGGGTTTAGGGTTTAGGGTTTAGGGTTTAGGGTTCAGGGTTGAGGGTTTAGGGTTCAGGGTTTATTTAGGGTTCAGGGTTTAGGGTTTAGGGTTTTGGGTTTAGGGTATACTTGCAGGATCATGGGACTTAGTAAGTGAGGTTATAAGTCCCCTAATTGGGGTTATAAGTATAGTTACTTTAGTTATAACCCGACTTACTAAGTCCCATGATCCTTTAAGTAGGGTTTGGGGGTTTAGGCCTTCAGGGCTTCAGGGTTGAGGGTTTAGGGTTTTGGGGTTTAGGCCTTCAGGGCTTCAGGGTTGAGGGTTTACGGTTTTGGCTTCGGGTTGAGGGTTTCGGGGTTTAGGCCTGAGGTTGAGGGTTTAGGGTTTTGGGGTCCAGGCCTTCAGGGCTTCAAGGTTTTGGGTTTAGGCCTTCAGGGCTTCAGGGTTTAAGGTTTGATTCATGTTGGGCCGTAGGGTTCAAGCTTTCAGATATCAACCAAGTACGTCAGGGCCAATGCTGCATTCTCGCCATTGGCTCGGCAGTAGTTGGACAGAAGTTGCGGCCCTAAACCCTAAACCTCTAAACCCTGAGCTGAGCCCTAACCCTAAACCCTAAACCCCTAAACCTTGAGCCCTAACCCTAAACCCTAAACCCTGAACCCCTAAACCTTGAGCCCTAACCCTAAACCCTAAACGACTTTCGAATTACAAGGTACTCCGGGTTTGCCACTGCCGCAGACCCCTTTCCGAGGCTGTTTCAAGCCTTCCTAAAGCTTCAACGAATTCTGCGAACATTTGCACACAAACCCTTGGGAACCTGGTGGAAACTGGGTTTGGGTTTAGGGTTTAGGGTTTAGGGTTTAGGGCTTAGGTCTACCATGAGGAATCCTGTTGTTAGGTGGTCCCCTCATGTCAAAATGAGAAACCCTCAAAGGGACCTTGTAGTACAGCGCACATACCCTAAACCCTAAACCTGAACTCTAATAACCCTTTAAAGGAGACCTTGAAAGGACTCCTGTGAGGGTGAAAAGGAACCCTACCCAAACCTCTACAAGCCCTGCAGCACTTAAGACTTGTTGAAAGAATGAATGCGACTAACAACAACAATCATATCATTAAAAATAAAAATCAAAACAAGTAATCACAACGGTGATAAGTATAATACTAATATTTTGAATAATTATTATGACAGTAACAATAATGATACTAATAATAATCATGAGCTCAGCTGGCACCTGTAGAATCCTCAGCGGTTGGCTCTTTGAGCCTTGGACGTCGGGCGCTTGTTCTCGAGAAAACCGAGATTTGGGTTCCTCTACCCTAAGGGTCCATAGTAGTTCCTTTTGGGGATTACCTTATAGGTAAATATGAATCCCAAAAAGGAACTACTATGGGGCCTATGGGTAAGGGTTGGGTGCCCTTTATGGGCTCGGTTTCGGGTTTAGGGTTTAGGGTTCAAATTTTGGGTTTAGGGTTCACGGTTTAGGGTTTAGGAGTCAGGGTTTAGGGGGCTCCTTTCAAGGTCTCCTGAAAAAGGCTCCTTTTGAGGGTCTTGTGGGTTACTACAAGGGTTAGTTCGAGGGTTACTGTAAGCTAGGGTTTACGGTAAACCTTAAGAACCCAAAACCCACTTTTTTTGTAGGTTCTTATTATAAACCCTAATATTGGATTTATAGGGGGTGGAGCACTTTTTTTTTTTCCTA